CGGTCGAAGGGCGTGCCCGTCCGTTGTGGGCGCAGTGCCCCGCGCCTTAGCCCCGGGGTTCGTGTAGCCACAGAGAGGCCTGGCCGAGGGCTCGGGGAAGGGTCTTGCCCCCGCCCACCCGCTGGCCGGCCGTGTGACCTTGGGGCGATCACTTCTCGGGGCGTTTTCTTCCTTCCCGTCTTCGCTGAAGCGGGACAGCCTCCCGGTCCTCAGGCTTGGCGTTCCTGGCTTCGCCGCCTCTTCTTCCTCCCTCTCCTCCTCCTCCTCCCTCCACAGCATCTACTGCGCTTACTGTTTCTTGAACCAAAAGGCCCCCAGCCAGGCTCCGTGGAAAGAGCTGTGGAGTCAGACTCGTTCGTGTCACTCCTTCGCCCCTTCATCGAATCAGCATGTAGGAGGCCCCTTCCCAGTACGAACACTGGCAGCAAAAATAAGTCAGGCCTGGTCCCCACCGTGGGGCTGCTTATAGGAAGGCAGACATGTCAGCAAGCCCGTGTCATAAAATGACCAGGTGCCAAGGGCTAGGTAAGGACAGCCACAGAGGTTGCCGAAAAGGGGCATGGCCGGCCCTGGCCCGTTTGGCTCGTAGTCAGAGCGCGGACCTGCGGACCGAAGGGTCTCGGGTTCAGTTGGGGAGGCAACCAGCCCGTCTCTCTCTCTCTCTCTCTCCCCTCCCCCTCCCTCTCTCTCTCTCTCCTCCCCTCCCTTCCACGCTCTCTAAAAATGGGGGGGAGGGGGGGGATATCCTTGGATGAGAATTAACAACAACAAAAAAGTGCATGGTCAGTTTTTCCAAGAAAAGGGAGGTACTGGTTAGAACAACCTTCTGAGGATAACTGTTCCCCAGGTAGATTGTAGGAGAGGAGATGGAAGGATTTTCCTAGCTCACTGGTAATCATGGATACATCCATAATCTCCGAGCCCTGTGTTGCCCATTGTGAAGTAATGTCCTCCTGTGTGTGTGTGTGTGTGTGTGTGTGTGTGTGTGTGTGTGTGTAGTACTAGAAGTTTTGGGGGGCAGCCCTTAACCAGTGACTGGCATGCGGAAGTTTAAATGTTGTCCCTGAATGAGACAACTCTGAGATGTGACTACGCAGTTTCCAGATATTCCTGGTAGGACTGAGCCAAATTTCCCACTTTCGAGACTGCTTGATATCTTATCCTTGCTTTGCCTCCTTCCCTTCACTATTCCCTCTTGCCCATCCCCCTATCAGTTATTCCTCGGAACACATTTACATGAATCCTTATTTCAGGGTTAGCTTCTAGAGGACCCAACCTATGACAGGCATCTAACCCAGTCCAGAAAGTCAGGGACGACTCTTGAAAGATAAGCCACTGAAGGTGATGTCTGGTAGTCAACCAACTGTACGGGGAGTGGGTGGAAAAGAAAGAAGTTACAGGACATCCAGACATTTCTCCTGGAGAAGTTGTGATTGGGTACAAATTACTTTCCTGAATCCATCTTCATTTTCCCTTTTGGCAAATGTTATGGTGAGCTCACATCTTCCTTAAGCTCTATGTCAATGATACAAAAATACCTGTTTCCTCATGATCAATATTTACCAGGGTGTGTGTGTGTGTGTGTAGTACTAAACATAGATCATAGCATAAGAGGTACTCAATCCATGTTTTCTCTTCTTGACCCCCCTGTGGGGGCCATGTCCTGACCCCTCTGCCTTCTGCTTCCTTCCCTGCAGACCTATGCCAGATTTACTGGGGCCCCGCTCAAGGTGCACAAGATCAGCAACCCCTGGCGGAGCCCTTCAGGTACCCAGTGTCCCTGGGCAGGGGGCGGCGAGGAAGGGTGTGTACAAGGGGAGAAGCAGAAGACAGACAGGAATGTGGTCCAAATACGTATGGACAGACAGCTAAGGGTCTGGCGGGCGTCCTTCTTTCTCAACGTCAGGAACGCTGCCCGCCCTCCGGACCAGTCACGGAGAGGTCATCTCAGTACCACACAAGATCATCACCCACCTTCGAAAAGAGGTAGGTGGCTTGGCGAGGGGAACTGCTAGTGAGAAAAGTTCAGTCCGTGCAGAGCAACACACATTTATTGAGCCCCAGGTATATGCCAGGCTCGAGGCAGGGGACCCAGAGCTTCAAGGAGCACAGGGTGATGGGGTGGGGGACACACAGTGTTGGTGTGATGCAGTAAGTAGTAGGCCAGAGGGTACGCTGGGGCACTTTGGGGGCATCTGGAGGCACAGAGCCTTCTGCCTGCTGGGCAGAGAGAGAGATGAACAGGCGGATGACACAAGGAAGGGAAAGGAGAATAGAAGAGAGCAGTTGGCTCAGGTGAGACCCTCGAAAGTGCGACCAGAGAGGGACTTCTAAGGGCCATCGCCCGTTTTTCGGGGAGTAGGTCAGGCGGGATATGGGACTCGGGGTGACGAGGATCAGAGCCAGGGCGGGGAAGTTGGAAGAGTATTACAAGAATGGGGAGGCCTAAGCTCTGCCCCTCACGCTCTCCTTGACCGAGTGACCTGTGGCAAGTCGCTTAATGTCTCAGGGCCCTAAGCTCCTTATTTGTTTTTTTATCTTTATTGTTGAAAGGATTACATTTGTCCCCCTTTTCCCCCCATTCACCCCTTATAGCCTGTCCCGCCCCTGGCTTCCACCACCCTATTGTCTGTGTCCATGGGTTATGATACATGCATACATGTTCTTTGGTTAATCTCTTCCCACCCACCCCTGCCTTCCCTCTGAGACTCGACAGTCTGTTCCCTGCTAAGCTCCTTATTTGTAAAACCAGGGGCTGAGCCAGGATGCTTTCCAAGGGTTCTTTTAATTTTCCTGGTCTGATTAAAAAAGGGAATACACGCTCAGTGGATAGAGCATCGGCCTGCGGACTGAAAGGTCCCAGGTTCGATTCTGGTCAAAGGCACATGCCCAGGTTGCGGGCTCGATCCCCAGTGGTGGGCATGCAGGAGGCAGCCGATCAGTGATTCTCTTATCATTGATGTTTCTATCTCTCTCTCCCTCTCTCTTCCTCTCTGAAATCAAGAAAAATATATTTTAAAAAAGGGGGGGTGGGGGATTCACTGTCAGAAATGGGACCCTCTTCATTTCTACTTTCCCAGATATTAAGGAGCTGGGGAATTGATGGAGGCTTGAGAGGCAGATAAAAGCCAAAGTTCCTGGCAGACTGGGCCACAGCCATGTTTCCTTATGTGTGAGCAAACCTTTCCAGTTTTCAGAGTTTTTTTCGTAACAGCCACATTGAGAGAAAGAGCTCAGTACCCCCATTCCACAGGGAAGAAAGTGAGGCTCAGAGAGATTTAAGGATCATGCTCAAAGGGTTATTCGGGGACAGAGTTTACTCAAAATGTGGAGGGGGTTGCTAAGCAACAGACACTGGAGCCTAGGAAGATGAGGCAGCCGAGACCTGGGGGTACGGTTGGAATGTGTGGTGGTGGCGGCGCCTGGGCCATGGAATGAAATAGAGGAAATAGCCAAGAGCTGGGCATTGAGAGAAGCAGCCAGGGGCCCTGGGCCCTGGGCCCATGGGTCCAGCAGCATGAGGATGGCGTTCCCCAGCTCCTGAGGCGTGGATGGAGGCCCAGCCTGCCTCTGAGCTCACTCTGTTAGCTTTGCGGTGCCCAGACTGGAGAAGTTACTGTTAGAAAGCTGCTGTCAGCAGGCACATTGCCACCTTTCCGTGGAAACTCTGGGAGCTGCTCCTGGTTTGCGGCTGGGCCTGCTTTCCTTCCCCAATGGGCTCGAGATCTTGACGGCCAGCAGGCTCCAAGGCCCAGGCCGTCCGCCAACAGTAACAGGCTACTGGCTGTGCCCAGGCCAGGGGGCCTCAGCAGGAAAAACTCCTGACTCTACCTCTGCTACACTCAGAGGCAGCGAGGGTGGCACCAGACAGGATGCTACTGAGAAGGGCCCTGCAGTCCCCCCGCATCAGCTCACGGTAGACGTTTCCTCCACAGAAGTTCAATGCTGATTATGATCTGTCTGCCCGGCAAGGAGCAGACACCTTAGCCTTCGTGTCGCTGCTGGAGGAGAAGCTGCTCCCAGTGCTGGTGAGTGTGCCCAGACCTCCCAGGGTTTATGGCCAGCGGGGGAGGGGCCAGGGACACACACCCCGACCCCTCACCCCACCCCTCCAGCGCTGGAGCAGCATGGGGATCAGAAGCCCACCAGGCCTTCCTCTCCCTTCCTATGTACCCATCCAGATCCATACTTTTTGGATAGACGCCAAGAACTATGTGGAAGTGACTCGGAAGTGGTACGCGGAGGCTATGCCCTTTCCCCTCAACTTCTTCCTGCCCGGCCGCATGCAGCGGCAGCACATGGAGCGGCTGCAGCTGCTGTGCGGGGAGCATAGGCCTGAGCATGAGGAAGAACTGGAGAAGGAGGTACCTCTGGGATAGGGTGCTGTTGTAGGAGAGAAGCCCCAAGGCGAATGGCCAGGCGTGGGACTGCCTAGGAGGGGAGGTGGCATGGTGCCCGCAGCCTCAAGCCTCCCTGTGTCCTCCCTGTGTCCTCCCTGTAGCTGTACCAAGAGGCCCGGGAATGCCTGACCCTCCTCTCTCAGCGCCTGGGCTCTCAGAGATTCTTCTTTGGAGATGCGTGAGTCTGCCTCCAGGGGAGTAAGAGGTGGCTTGGAAGAAGACGCGGGTGTTGATGTAGCTGCAGGCGCTTGGGTGGGCTCAGCTCTGGGCGAGAGGTCCTCGGGACAGACACTGGCTCTGCTGACAGCGGGGCTTGGAGTTGCCTCAGTGGTACAGGAGGGTGGGAGGGCCGCCAGGCACAGGAGAGTCTGCAGGGCTGCGGGGCACTCAATGTGCCCTTTATGCAGCCCTGGGCTAGCGTCCCATTCAGGGCCAGGCTGGCGCCACCTAGGGGCCCTCCCCACACAAGACCCAGAAAGGTGTGTCCTCGCCTACCCTAGTGGTCCCTGCTGTCCAGAGCCACCTCCCAGGGCCAAATCTTCCTCTGACTCCATCTCTACCCCCCCTGCCAACGTCGTCCTCCTCCATCACACCCCTCTCTCTCTGCCTCAGCCCCGCCTCCCTGGACGCCTTTGTCTTTAGCTACCTGGCCCTGCTGCTGCAGGTCAAGCTGCCCAGTGGGAAACTGCAGGCCCACCTTCGGGGACTGCATAACCTCTGTGCCTACTGCACCCACATCCTCAGCCTCTACTTCCCCTGGGATGGAGGTAAGGGGCAGATGGATGCGGGGTGGTTGCTGGCCCTGGGGAGAGTGGGCAGGGATCCAGGAACTAGCCTCCCTGCCCACCTTCCTTCCTTATCCCTCAGCTGAGGTGCCACCTCCACGCCAGACACCAGTGAGCCCGGAGACTGAGGAGGAGCCGTACCGGCGCCGGACCCAGATCCTGTCCGTGTTGGCGGGGCTGGCAGCCATGGTGGGCTATGCCTTGCTCAGTGGCATTGTCTCTATCCAGCGGGCAACACCGGCCCGGACCCCAGGCACGGGGGCCCTGGGCATGGCTGAGGAAGACGAGGAGTGATTTGTCCTCATGCTCCCAGGACTGATTTTTCTACTCTCATGCATTCCAGAGGTCCCTGTGTCTCCCTGTTGTTGATACAGCCAGAAATGGGGTGTCCCCTGAAAATAAACCTGCTCACACTCACTGGGATCAGACCTTCTGTCCTTTAAGGGGCCACCTGGGTCCTTGCCTTCACTGGTGCGTGGCTTCTTGGCTGCTTGGCCCTGATGACAGTGCTTCTGCAAGGACCCAGTTCTCATCTCCAGGAAAGACAAACATCCTCCGTTCTGGGTCCAGCCTTCCTAGTCTCTTCCTTTTCTTGCCCTCCCTACCCCCATCTTGTGTTTGTACAGACAGTGAGCTCACCCTGGGCCTGGGCCCAGTTTCCACAGGAACCAGCACAGAGAATACACTTGCACAAGCTTGTGGGGGGAGCACTGGGGCTTCCCAATCCTTTCCTGAGGAGCCTCCAGCCCCTGGCACCAGCTGGAGGGGAGAGTGAGTTACCCAAACCACTGCTCCTGGGCTGACGTCACTTAAACTCACCCAGGCCCTGCTGTACCCTGTTAGCCACAGACAGCATGTGAGCTGACTCGGTCCCTTTAATGCCCATGTTGAGCCCAGGCCTCTGCTTGGGTATCTGCTCCATCACTGGCGCCGCCACAAATAGGTGTGAATGGAGTAGGCAGGGGAGACCGTCTCCAGGAAGCCCAGAGCAGGATCCTTGATGGTGAGAGGCACATCCTTAGAGGAGCTGGGGAGGGAGCAGGAGAGCTGAGTGTCTGATCCTGCCAAACCCACCGTCTGCCCTCAGCCCAGTCCCCGGGCCCTGCTGCTGCCCTCACCGGTTTAGCACCACCACAACTGCAGAGCCGTCGGGACGCATCAGTGCCACTGCTTCCAGGTCGTTCTTCTCACTAGCGACCAGCCCCACTCTCTGGGAGCCTTCAGGAATGAACTTGCTGAAGTGGGAACAAGCAGCGTCAGGGACCCCAGCCCAGCCCCTCTGACCTGAGGGTAGCTCCCAGCTACTCGTAACCCAAGAATTCACCCCCCACATCCCTTGCTAAGGCTCTGCCCCAGTTCTCCAGGTCTTGAGCCATGCTGCTGGCATGCCCTCCTTCCTGCCTCCCAGCTCCAGCATCGGCAGCTGGGTTGCCTGTGTCTGATGCTGTCCAGTCACTTCCTGCCCAGATGGTGCAAGAGGGACAGGGTGTGCCTCTCCCAAGGTTCCCACCCTAAACACCTTCCTGCTCCTCATGTGGGGTGAGGTAAGCCCAGCACAGGAAACACTAGGCCTGGTGCAGAGCGGGGGTGCCTGCCCACCACTCACCTGAAGTGGCCAAGGTGGTAGAACATGGGCTGTTTGTAAAACGTGTCCTTGGCGATGTCCACGATGATGGGGCTGTCAACAAAGTTGCGCACCCAATTGGGTCCTCCTTCAGGGTTCAGGGCGAGGTTCCAGTCAGTCCAGCCAACCACATGGTAGAGGAGGTTCTAGGGCAGGAACAGGGCGGAGACAAAGGCTCGACACTGGGTCCCCAGAGAATGTGATTAAGGAGGTAGGTGGGCTCCGGTGCCTCAGCCCTGTGACAGGGCTCTATGTCCTGACATCTAAGGAGAGACTGAGGATGAAGACATCACAAGAGAAGCTGAGAAATCAGGCAGCTCTAACGCTCAAGACCCAAGCATTTGGAAGAAGGGTGATGGGGTGTGCAGATCTGAAGGGAATCATGATATCCCACAACATGCCCCCAGGAGCGAGCCGGCTGGGGAGAAGTTGGAGCGGAGGGCCGGTCATCAGTCCTTGGTGAGACTAGGAAGGGGCCGGGGGCCTGCTTTGTGAAAAGGGAGACCGGTGGCTCACCGTGATGATGCTGTGGCTGTACTGCATCCCTCGATCCCAGGAGCCCAGCCGCACACTCTGCTCCCAGAACTTGGAGCCCACACAGGCCTCTGAGGCAAAGAGCATGGTGTCGGGGAACAGGCGGTGTGTCTCCCCCAGGGTGGCTTTTGCCGGAGCCAGAAAGTCCAGGTACCAATGTACAGCGATGCCGTGAACATACTTAGCTGCCTCTGGGTCCGCCAGCACCTGTACAGGGAAGGGGAGGAATACTGGGGAAAGGGAGCCACTGAACCCGGCCCTGCCCGTTCGGAGGGTTCTGGGAGACACTAGGGGACCAGAGAATGGGCAGTGGGATAAACACAACTAGAGGGGGTTGCAGTAACAACCATGGGGTCCTGGGAGCACTACCACCCCAGCACTCCAGGGGCATGTATACCACCCGGGCACCTGGCTCCAGCCCAGGGTGCTCTAAGAATCAAGAGTTGGGGCAGGCCCGGCCGGCATGGCTCAGTGATTGAGCGTCGACCTATGAACCAGGAGGTCACAGTTCTATTCTGTGGTCAGGGCACATGCCTGGGTTGTAGGCTCAATCCCCAGTGTGGGGCGTGCAGGAGGCAGCGAATCAATGATTCTCACCATTGATGTTTCTATCTCCCTTCCTCTCTGGAATCAGTAAAAATATATTTAAAAAGCAAAAAAGTTGGGGCAGGGAAGGCACTCTATTTGAGAGCCAGTCACTTGGATCTTGGATTTGAGGGTCACTGGGGTACCCATGGAGGTCCTGGGCCTTACCACCTCGGCCCAGTGGGGCAACAGCAAGCGCTGGTCATCCAGCATGAGCAGACGGACGCCTCGGTGAGCACTGTTGGCCAGGGTGGGGCCCAGGTCCCGGGCAATGAAGTCTCGCTGGTGTTCAGGGGTGAAGCCCAGGCACTGGAAGGGGTACCCGCTGAAGAGTCCTGCAGAAGGCTCGTTTTCCGCGGTCACTGCCCAGAACTGCAACTTGTGCTCCGCATAGGCGTCCAGGAACCTGGCAGAGGAAGGGTGTGTGTGACGCTGACCAAGAAAGGGGACCAGGAACCAGAGGACTAGGAGGCAGATGAGGTGGGGGAAACGGGGGGCCCAAGTCAGAAAGGCCCAGAAGATAGGCCGGTGAGGTGAAGAGAGTCATAGCTAGAGGTGAAACCAGGTGAGGACACAGACCAGGCTGGTCCAGGGCCCATGGCCTTGCTGCTCCCTTACTTGACAAAGTATCTGGCCCAAGTCTGGTGGTAGAGGTCCCCCGGCTGACCCTTGAGTGACCCCCTCCCATTCACTGCCCCATTGGTCTTGAGCCAAGTGGGTGATGTCCAAGGACTGGCGAAGAGGGAGACAGGGCGCTGGGACATCTCTAGGGCCTGGTGGATCAGGGGTATCTAGAAACAAAGGTAGTGCGGAGAGAGACAACCAGAGTTAGAACAGACTGGCCCAACCAGTGCATCAGGCCTAGCCCTCAGCCCCCGCCCTCCCAGCTCCAGGACAAAACTTAGAGACTCGGGGCCAGGTTCTGTCTCTCTATACTTCTCTAGCCTGAAGCTTTTCAGATCCCGGGCATCAGTGCTACCAGGGCCTGAGGAAGCCAGAGTGCCCACCTTGAGCTTGACATCTTCCTCTGGGAGGCTGAAGTTGTGCAACTGGAAGTCGTCAGGGGTGTCGGCATAGGTGTAGATGCGGATGGAGAAGTCACAACTGGCCATGGGTACCCGAATGATGTTGTATTCAATTCCTGCGGTAAAAGACCAAGATCTGGGAGTCTGAGTCAATAGGAGAATGTAGGGCCCGGCCTATCACTTGTCAGCCCTCAATTAGATGGGGCTCCTAGGTTAGGGCCTGTGGAGCCAGGCACCTGGGTGAAACACAGGTCTGAGCCTGAGAATCCCCAAGCACTCGGTGGAAGACGGGTAGGACAATCTTATTTGGGCATTAAGAGAAGACCCAAATGTCAAGGATGGATGGAAGTCAGGGTCAAAGGAAATGTCAAGGTCAGTTGCACAGTCATCTTGTCCCCCTCCTCCTCACCTTCTTCAGAGAAGTATGATTTGAGTAGCAGATTCCGGGCAGGGGGTGACAGGGCAAGGATATTGAGAGCAGCAGCATCTGTCATGGCCCCTCCAAATCCCTTTATTTTCTGGAACTTCTGCTCCGGCTGCAGGGTCAGCAACAGCCCTGAGAACACATTTAGGGAATCAAGGGCGTCAGTGCCCAGGGAGGAACCCCAGGAGGACCCCGGCCTGGCTCGGGGTGGAGGGTGTAGGGGTTACCTGTGCCTGTTTGGTTGGCCTGGATGGTCCCCAGACTCCGCTCCATTCGGCGCCCGCTGCGTGTGCTCTCATAGCGTGTGAAGGTGCCAGGGGCAGGCAGGGTCAGGGGATCAAGGGAGTCACAGTAGGTGGCATTGCAGACACAGACCACCGAGCTGTAGCCAAAGTTTTTAGGGTTGCAGGGGCGGGCACCTGGGAGGGAGAGAGAGGCAAGGGCTGAAGGATGAAGCTGGGAGAAGCCACACTACTCAGGAGAGACCAAACACCGGTTCCTAAAATCCTCTCACACCCTGGCCGGCATGGCTCAGCAGTTAGAGCCTTGGCCCCTGCACGGAAGGGTCTCAGGTTCGACTCCCGGTCAAGGGCACGTACCTGGGTTACGGGTTCAATCCCTCACCCAAGTTGGGATGCGAGAGGAAGGCAACCAATCGATGTGTCTCACATCAATGTTTCTCTTTCTCCCTCCCTCTCTCTCCCTTCCACTCTAAAAAAATAATAAATAAAATCAATGGGAAAATTATCCTTGAGTGAGGATTAAAATCCTCTTGCTGTACCTCCACCCAAAAGTATTTATTGAGCATCTACTGATGTCCACCACCAGTTTGCCAGAAAATTACCAGAGAAGAGAAGTGTTGGGGCTACCTCCCTCCTTAATTTACTCACCTGACGCCCAAGAAACTGCCTGAAGTAGAAGCAATCCCGTGAGTCTGGCAGCCATGATGCCTACCCTGCCCAGGGCCTTGGGACATTCCTGAGAACAGAATGAGGAGTGGCTGGAAGGCAAGCCCCTCTCCACCCCTCAACTACTCTCCTGGGCAGCGCTCAGCCACGCCTGGGCACGCACAGGATAGTCTCCCACCTTTAAGAGGGATGGATAGGCCCTCTGCTAGCAGCCAGCCCTCCCTCCAAGCCCTCTGTGAGTGACAGACCCTCCCCGACCAGGACCCTCCTCCTCCCCTCTTGCCACCCATTTCTCCCTCGACCTGTCCCTCCGTAGAAATGCCATGATGGCCTGAGTTCGAGGAGAGTCTGTCATTCATTGAATTCCTGAACCTGATGGCCAGGATTCCAGAAGCAGACGAGATCAATTGGGAGCCCTGGCCCACTCACCTCTCTGGAAGGACTTGCAGGCTCCATCACCAGGTGGGAAGACTGCAGCGTTCGCAGCCTCGGAGGGGACAAAGTCCCCTAAATCGAAGTGGAGCTGCAGGTACTTGGGTAGCTACAGACCCGGGATTAGCCTTGGGGATGAATTCCGGCATCACGGAGTAAATGGGTCATGTGATGACTACGGGAGAGTCACATGACACCGGAAGTGAGGCAACTTCACCCATACTTGTAAAGGGCGACTGGTTTCCTCCAGGTTGTTGGTGATTCTGCACCCCGTCACATCCTAGAAGGCATGTGTGGATGACAGCTTAGGGAAGAATCTAAATCAAAGGTCTGAGAGGACTGGGTAGAGGCTCCAGAATCCCAGAGGATGGGAACCATAGTAAGCACATTGCTTTCTTGAGAAAAAATGTTAAAGTAATACTGATAAAGTTGATACTAATAAGAAAGGGTCACTGCGCAAGATAGTGTAGCCAGAATACTGAGAGATGGGTAGGGCAGCCTTTGTCCTATAGAGGCTTGTGAAGCAGGGAGTCAGACACTTACGCAGATAGTTACACGTGAAGGCAAACCAGTAACAAGGGACCCTCCATGGTAAGGAGTTATCCCGGAAGGCTTCCCGGAGGAGAAAGGGCAGGGATCATTAACCAGAGAAGCAGGGAGGGAGGGCCCTGGGCAGAGGAAGGGCATGATTGAAGGGAGGCCTCCCTGGTTTCACCAGCAGGTGCGGGTTGTGTGAGCGGCTTTTCCTTTCTCACAGGACAGGGAGGTTGTGGCACGTAGTTCAGAAACTGGAAAGTGCTGTACAAGCCACAGCAGGGGTCCTCAAACTTTTTAAACAGGGGGCCAGTTCACTGTCCCTCAGACCGTTGGAGGGCCGGACTATAGTTTAAAAAAAAAACTATGAACAAATTCCTATGCACACTGCACATATCTTATTTTGAAGTAAAAAAAAACAAAACGGGAACAAATACAATATTTGTATTTGCATATGGCCCGAGGGCCGTAGTTTGAGGACCCCTGGCCAAGACTGTAGCTTCTCTTCATTACTGTATCACCAACAGCTAGTGCTGGGTCACTTGTATAATAAAGTCTCAGTAACATTTTTGAATAAATGAATTTTTATGAGCGCTTATCAACTTCCTCTTAACTATAATAAGAGAAACGTCATTATTTCCTATCACCTTGTTGATAAACAAAAAGAAGCTTTCATTTGAGCAGAGTTTATGCCTCTGGTATCAGATTTGACAAAGTTTGTTCAACTTGTTGCGGGGGGTGGGGGGTGGGGCGGGAGGGCCAGTTCACTGTCCTCCCTCAGACTGGAGGGCCGGACTATAGTTTAAAAAAAAAACTATGAACAAATTCCTATGCACACTGCACATGTCTTATTTTGAAGTAAAAAAACAAAACCGGAACAAATACAATATTTGTATTTGCATGTGGCCCGCGGGCCGTAGTTTGAGGACCCCTGAGCCATAGCCTTAGTGGACACGAGAAGGGGGTTGTCCGTGATGCTGCAACCACATCACACCTGGACCACATCACAAGTGACACACACATTAGGACCTGACCAACCCCAGCCCTGAGCCTATTTCCTAACTAAAGCGGAGGCCGCCCCACCATCTTTCAGGGCTATTACTGGAGTCAGTGAAAGAAGCATGTGCCTGGCGCGTAGGAGATGCTCACTAACCGCTGGTTTGCTGTGTCTTTTTAAAAGAGCTCAGTGAAGTCTTTCCAGACACGCCAGGCCAAACGGATCTTTTCTTGTTCTGGTTCTTATGGCGTCAGTAGAGTTTCAGTGAGAACAGCTGGGTTTGAAACTTGGCTCCACCATTTACTGGCTGTTTGACCTTCAATACATCACGTAAGCCTCTGTTTCTCATCTATAAAAGGGGAGTGACAGTGAGGTTTCAGTACATAATGCATGTGTATAGCAGGCTGCTGGGCACCAAATACTGTAATAAGTCCTTAGAGGGGTCAGTAAAGGAATGTCTTACTCATTCCTTTACTGACACAGAATGGGTACATGCCAAGTTGTTGAACCAAAATGAGCCATCATCATGTCAATATTTGCCCCATCTAGACTTCCTGTTTTTCCAGGAAATGTTGTGTAGGGCTCATTCTTGGGAAGAAGACAGGTGATACCTGCACCTTACTTCCCTCTAGTTCATTCATTCCACAAATATTTGTCACACTTACTATATTTGCCCCTTTTTGCTCTGTTGGATTTAGCCTCCACCTCCCTGTTTCACTCTGTAGTAACAGTGTTTATGAGGCTTTTATTTCTTCTTTTTATACTTCAGTTTAAAAATCTTCCAGAGTTGATACCACCTCGTTTTTTTCTTAATTTTATTCATTGATTTTGAGAGAGAGAGAGAGAGAGAGAGAGAGAGAGAAATGTGGGAGCAATGAGAGACACAAGACACAACACGTTGGTTGGTTGCCTCCTAAATGTGCCCCAGTCGGGGCCAGGATTTGAACCTGCAACCTAGGTCCCTGCCCTTGACTGGAAATCAAACCTGGGACCCTTTGGGTGCAAAGGCTGATGCACTAAGCCCTGAGCCACACTGGCCAGGGCTTCCCTTGTGTTTTTATATTTTATTTTCTAAATAAAATTAGTTATAATAAGGGCTAATGCTTACTGAGTACTTATTCTATGGTACTTAGTGTGCATTAGACCTTTACCTCACTCACTTCATTCTCGAAAGACAGATATTATTATTTTTCCCATTTTAAAGATGAGAAACCGCTGTAGCCGGTTTGGCTCAGTGGATAGAGCGTCGGCCTGCGGACTTCGTGGCAACACTTCTGGCTCCGTGTTCTCCAAAGGCATCAGTCAAGGGATACCGCTTCAGTAACAGAATAAAGCCCTCACCGGTTTGGCTCAGTGGATAGAGCGTCAGCCTGGGGACTCAAGGGTCCCAGGTTTGATTCCGGTCAAGGGCATGTACCTTGGTTGCGGGCACATTCCCAGTGGGGAGTGTGCAGGAGGCAGCTGATCGATGTTTCTCTCCCATCGATGTTTCTAACTCTCTATCCCTCTCCCTTCCTCTCTGTAAGAAATCAATAAAATGTATTTTAAATAATAATAATAATAATGGAACAAAATCCAGAACTCCCAAGTTGGTCGAGAGTGGTTGATTTCAGCGGGGAGGGGCAACTCTGCCTCTGTCTCTGAGCTCCCCGCTCCCCATCCTGAAGATCTCAGCCCAACAGCCCAAGCACCCCCTTTACATAAGTATTTTCTAATATACTCTTTTTTTAAATATATATTTTATTGATTTTTTACAGAGAGGAAGGGAGAGAGATAGAGAGTTAGAAACATCGATGGGAGAGAAACATCGATCAGCTGCCTCCTGCACATCTCCCACTGGGGATGTGCCCACAACCCAGGTACATGCCCTTGACCGGAATCGAACCTGGGACCTTTCAGTCCGCAGGCCGACGCTCTATCCACTGAGCCAAACCGGTTTTGGCGACCTAATATACTCTTTTCTATCCTGAAATAAACATATAAATAATATGACTTAACCTACCCTACACACATAATTTAAAAGAATCAACATAATTGCCTTAACTGGAATATAAAGGAAAAATATTGGGACTATTTTTTTAAATGTTTTTCTTGATTTCAGAGAGAGAACGGGAGAGGGAGAAAGAGATAGAAACATCTGAGATATAAGCTGCCTCCTGCACACCCCTTACTGGGGATTGAGCCTGAAACCTGGGGATGTGCCCTAATGAGAAATTGAACCGTTGAACTCCTGGTGCACGGGATGATGCTCAACCAACTGAGCCACTCCAGCCAGATGGGACTATTTTTTTTTTTAAATATCTCTTTATTGATTTCAGAGAGGAAGAGATAGATAAACATTAATGATGAGAATCATTGATTGGCTGCCTCCTGCACGCCCCCTACTGGGGATCAAGCCCGGAACCCAGGCATGTGCCCTTGACCGGAATCGAACCTGGGACCCTTCAGTCCTCAGGCCAACGCTCTATCCACTGAGCCAAACCAGCCAGGGCCAGATGGGACTATTTTTTATAATATGTTTTCAATAAGTAAATGCTTTCACTTTTACCTTGGAGACATACTATAGTCAGATCTTGCACTAATCTAAATAAAACAGAACTTAATAGAAGCAAAACCAGTCCATGAATTAATAATTTTGAGATGTAATTTTTGCCATAAGTCATTTTCATGATATGAAATTATCATTGTGCTGCAAAAACATAAAATATATGACAAATACTATGGCCGGTACCTCAGTTGGTTTAGAGCAGGGGTGGGCAAACTTTTTGACTTGAGGGCCACAATGGGTTCTTAAACTGGACCGGAGGGCCGGAACAAAAGCATGGATGGAGTGTTTGTGTGAACTAATATAAATTCAAAGTAAACATCATTACATAAAAGGGTACGGTCTTTTTTTTTTTAGTTTTATTCATTTCAAACGGGCCGGATCCGGCCCGCAGGCCGTAGTTTGCCCACGGCTGGTTTAGAGCATCATCCCAATACACCAAGGTTGAGGGTTTTATCCCTGGTCAGGGCACATCCAAGAAGCAACCAATGAATGCATGAATAAATGGAACAACAAATCGATGTTTCTCTCTCCCCTTTTCTCTCTCTAAAATCAATAAATAGAAATTTAATTAAAAATATATGACAAATAGAAATGCTTAAAAGTCAGTCTTTGTGAATAAGATTAAGTGCATTCCACAAACTTAATATTTGATTCTGAGCCTTGGCAAATTTAATAAGGAAAAGAATAGTGTTTTTTATTTTATATTTGCATACGTTGTTGAGTGGAAATTTCCAAAGTCAAGTAGAATGAGAGAACCCTTCTTTGTGAATGTAGAATGTCTACGTTTCCTGTCCTCCATCCATGCAATCCTCAAAGTGCCTCCAGGGTCTCCGCTAAAGACACAAGTTTCCAAAATGTCCCCTAGGGGGCGACTGAGAACCACTCCCCTAGGCCTAGGGAGTCACCTCCAACACCTAGGCCGCTGCAGTGGCCACTAGGGGTGTATTAGGTGGCCACATATGTATTCCTAGGGCCTGTTGCACACTTAAAAGACTTAGCTAAACACCAAGGGAGGACAACTGGGAAATACAAGCAAAAGCAGAAGTACAAAAATAGTTTGGCTGACTCAGCAGCAGAGTTCTGATCCCACTCCTGCTAGCCCTGCAACGCTGCCGGCTTGGCTCAGAGAGCAAACTCCTGCCCTGGAGACTGGCAAGTATTATGTCACAGGCTCCTTGCTCTTTAGGCCTCGGGCCACGTCCCCAAGGAGGTCGCCCCCTCCCAGTCCCACTGTAACATCCACGGTCAAGTCCAAGAGAGACGCTTTCTCAATCCATACACAGCAAAGAGTAGGTGCTCAAGAAACACCAGATGAAAGAATGAATAAACCTTATCAATCAACCTAGAGCCTGTTTTCTTTCAGCTCTGATTTCTGATCTGAAGATACAACACCCCTCCTGATTACTGACACCAAAAAGGACCTCTTTCTCCCGTGAGACTAGACCCCTTCTGTCCCTTACTAGTAAGAGTGTGGCTTCATCCTTGAATTCATCTGATTAAACAACTCTTTTTAACTTTATTGAGATATAATTGAAATATAATATTGTGTAAGTTTACTGTGATAATGTTGTGATAATTTGATACATGTATATCCCACAAAATAATTACCACTATAAAGTTAGTTTGATTAACCAACTCTTTTTCTTCTCTTTTTTTTTTTAAATATATTTTATTGATTTTTTACAGAGAGGAAGGGAGAGGGACAGAGAGTTAGAAACATCGATGAGAGAGAAACATCGACCAGCTGCCTCCTGCACACCCCCCACTGGGGATGTGCCTGCAACCAAGGTACATGCCCCTGACCGGAATCGAACCCGGGACCTTTCAGTCCGCAGGCCAACGCTCTATCAACTGAGCCAAACCAGTTTGGCTAACCAACTCTTAATAACCACAGCATTCACTGAAAAGCCCAGTGCAAATGGGAAGTACTTGTACCTCATGTGCCATTCTGTATTTTTACTCGAGATAATAGACAACCTTTCATTAGTGCTCATTACATGCATTAGCCTGACGACTCCTGTTACAGAGAAGACTGAGACAGAGAACTTGAGTAAGTGGCAGAGCCGAGCCTAAGTTCACATCTGTCCTACTCTGAAGCCCAAGCAGCTCTCAGTCATCATGTCCTACAGCCTCCCGGATATTTCAGTAGAGTGTTTTTAGTCTTCCTTACGGTTATAAACCTGCAGAGCACATTTCATGGCTTCTATTTCTTTTTTTAAAATAATTTCCCCCCCAATATATTTGTATTGATTTCAGAAAGGAAGGGAGAGGGAGAGAGAAACATCAATGATGAGAGAGAATCAATGATCAGCAGCCTCCTGCACGCCCCTTACTGGGAACCAAGCCCAAACTGGGACATGTGACCTCCTGAGCCACACCAGCCGGGCTCATGGTTTCTATTCTTTGAAACCTCAGAACTCTTCACTGAGAGGGAAGCACAGAATCAAGGCTCACTGTTTACTGAATGAGTGAATGAATAGGTTAAGTTACTGATCACACCCTGCTAATTCAAGGCCCTGCTTGTCAAGTGTTTCAGAGTGTGGTTTGAACTTCAGGAAGAGTGAGGCTAACTCTGAACATAATTATTAGAGTTAAAATAAGACCAAATCAGGGGGACTTGGTTGAGGCTATAGAAATGTGGATTCAAATCCTGAACATCGGTGAACCTGCTGGCACAATCCTTACTTTTCTGACCCTCCCATGTAGGACTATAATGAAGCCCACAGACAAGAATAATATCTGTGGCCCGGCCGGCGTGGCTCAGCGATTGAACATCAACCTATGAACCAGGAGGTCAAAGGTTTGATTCCCCAGTCAGGGCACATGCATGGGTTGCAACTTGGCAGCCAATCAATGATTCTCTCTCATCATTTATGTTTCTATCTATCTCTCCCTTTCCCTTCCTCTCTGAAATTAATTTTTTAAAAAAAGAATAATGTCTGTGATGGTACACCTTGTGAACTATAATAGACACAGATGCCAGGAAGTATTACTGTTATTGTTACTCAGCCTTTACTTCTTCCCTCCAGGTAGTTGACTGAGTCATCTGTCTAAGACCTCCACCTCCCACCTTGCTTCCTCTCGCTGCCACCATTTCTCTCCTCCCCATTCTGCTGGTCGGAAGTCCTCCCACCTTTCTGACTGCTTCTTCTCCTTTGAGGGTTTCACCTTTCTGTCTGCCGGTGTTCCTTAGGGGTTTGTCCTAGCCCTTTTCTTATGCGTCATCTTTCCTAAGAGACGCCCCATGGCTTTGATTACCTTCTAGTTGCCTTTGGTGTAAAAAATCCACCTCCAGCCCTAACTGGTTTGGCTCAGTGGATAGAGCCTCGGCCTGAGGACTGAAAGGTCCCAGGTTTGATTCCGGTCAAGGCATGTACCTTGGTTGCGGGCACATCCCCAGTTGGGGGTGTGCAGGAGGCAGCTGATCAACGTTTCTCTCTCAACAATGTTTCTAACTCTCCGTTCCTCTTTGTAAAAAAAATCAATAAAATATATTTTTTTTAAAAATCCACCTCCAATCCCAACCTTCCTCCTGGGGTGACTCTGTGACATGACCCTGAGCTCAGCTCTTTCCTCGGTGTCTCACAGACACCTCACAGGACCATGATGAGGTCGCCTCCCCCAGCCAAGCCTGTTCTTCTTCCTGTGCTCTCTCCCCAGACATGGAACCCCTTCCCCCAGGACCTGGGGCTCTTTTTTTTTTTTTTTACTTGACAAACTTATTTTATTTTAACCTACATCCTCTCCTTGTACCTTTCTCCAGATTATTTCTCTCCTAGACTACAGAAACATCTTGGTCTTGTAACCACCACTTTCCTCCTCCAATCCATTCTCGAAGAACTGGATGGTCTAACTAAAATATCAATTCTGAAGTTACCACTCTCCCTCCTCAAATCCTTTAATGGCACCACACTACCTTTAAGCAGGTTTACCGGATCTTTGTTCCACCCTCATTTCTCACCTCTCCAATCCCATTTCCCCTGACAGGCTGCATTCCATTTTGCCTCTATTTTCCTCCCTGCCGTAAGTACTTTCTTCTCTTCTCTTGAAGAAAATGAATAACTCTTTTTCTTTTTTAATCATTAAGGCTCCAGCCTTCGTATCCCTGCCATCAGTACCATTTTCCTGATACCTTCTGACTGGGTTAGGCACCCTTGCTAAGTGCTCCCCAATTCACAGATCCAACAAATAATAATTGGGCATCTACTATATGCCAGGCACTGTTCTAAATCCTGGAGAAACAATAAATAAGATGATAAAGTTCCTGTCCTAGTGGCTGGTAGATAAAAAAAAAAAAAGAGAGAGAGAGAGAGAGAAATAATTTCACATGGTCATGAGAACTATGAAGGAAAATAAAGGGGTAGGGAGTGCTGGATAGAGCCAGTAATGGGGCTAATTTTAAGAAGTGAGTTTAGAAAGGAAAGTTTGGAGCCAGACTCTGTAGCCTTGGTGGCCACAGTAAGGGGTCTGAATTTTGTTCTAAGATGGAAATTCACTGGAGAGTTTGGTGCAGGGAAGTGGCAGGATCAGATTTATATTTTTAAGGTCATTCTGGCTGCTGTATAGAAATTAGACGGTAGGGGGGAAGACGCCAAGACAGGGAGAACATCTGCCAATTACAGCCTGCCATGGACTTGTCCCTTGTTCCACATCCACTGCACCTCAGAGTCCTGGAAAAGGCTCTTCTTCAGTATATATCACTCTTCACCTCCATGCAGCCTAGTTAATGCCTATTCATCTTTCAGAACTCACCTGAGATGTCGTTTTCTCCAAAAATTCTCTCCCTCCACACACAGCCCTCCTGTAACACACATTGATAGCCCTTACGTCTCCTTTGTAGCTCTTATCCCAATTAATTGTATAGTGGCTTAATGTCAGTTGGAGTGTCCGGTGGCTGCTAACTCCTTTGCCGGCTGGTCCGTCAGTGGGTAAGCCCAGTAGGATATGCATGAGTCTGTCCACCTCCCTTCCGAACCCATGGCCATACCCCAATGGGTAGCATAGCGCCGGGCACCAGTCCGGTGCTCAGTGAACGTTTGTGGAATGACTGAAGAACAGATGAACAAATTACACAGACCTTATATCCACTCCACCCCTCAAAAAAAAACAAGGTGGGCCCTAGCTGGCTTGGCTCAGTGGATAGAGCGTCAGCCTGCGGACGGAAGGGTCCCAGGTTCGATTCTGGTCAAGGACACATGCCTAGGTTGCAGGCTTGATCCCCAGTAGGGGACATGCAGGAGGCAGCCAATCAATGATTCTCTCTCAACACTGATGTTTCTATCTCCCTTTCCCTCTCCCTTCCTCTCTGAAATCAATAAAGATATATATTTTTTAAATGTTAAAAAAAACACACACACAAGGTGGGCAGAGGAGAATTTTAAGATTTTATCCTCTCTTCTTCATTAGTAAATTACGACCATCCCTACAAATAACAACAATGATGATTAAGAAGTGAAGTGCAAACGCCGGGAGGGAGAGTTAAGATCCAAATGGTGCCACATCCGTGACGCCTACCGTGGGCGAAGTAAAACAGCCCCCCAACCGGAGGAGGTAAGGCAAACCCACGGCAGCCTGCACAGCAGGGTGGGCGGGGCTGGAGGAGGGGGCTCCGCAG